TATTTTATTGCCTATGTTCATCAGGGATAAAGTAGGTGATGAAAGAATTTTTCTGAACAGGCGTGTAGTTTTGGAGCCAATTCAATGCAAACAATCAAATCCTTCATAAAGGGTAAAAAATTTACAGAACCTCACGAATATGTGCAGCGATTTTGTCGAATTTCGCGTTCTACTGAAAGGAGGCACAAATGGGATAAAGTGTCGTCTTTGGTTCAGGCCTCATTTAAATAGCGTTCGATTTAATTTTCACAGGATCAGTAATCACTTGGCCGTTAATTAAAAACAGTGTGGGGACACTGCAACTCAGCATGTGGCTGGAGGGCGCAAATTGAATTACGAAAGACGCACGCACTATAACCACCGCATTATCAGATTACATCTCGCTGAAGATCACAACGAAGTGCATTAATTACGGTTTAATCTTTGTTTATGTTTTGATGATTTATTTAACCTGGTAACATCGTGAATTCGACAAATTCTTATACTTTTTCTGCTTCATCGTTTAACTGACAATTTTATTTAAATGTGTAATTTCCGAAAGCAAAAACATTTCCTTTTTTGTTTTTAGTTTTCATTATATAATTGAAAAATAACAGTTTTGCCCAGCTGTGCGTGAACGCAAAGTATAAAACTTTTTATTTAATCTCGTACTTAATCATGAAACACGAAACTAACTAAACGAACTATTAAATTCATGAAACAGAAATTTACGAAATAAAATGCTAATTGTGTCACAAAGGAGGTCCGTCAATATAGGATATATTGACATTATATTGATTGATAGGAGGCGCGAAATTTCAATAGTTTGTTGCAAATTACAATTTGACTTATCGTCGCTGTAGAATGATAACCTCGTAAGTCAAGAGAACCAAACATTACAGGCAACGAAAAAACGAAGGTTATAATGATTCTATAGTGACATGTGTTGTCGCCAATAAAACACGTTTCGATATTTTTGTTTACATTGTCTATTAGGTGCGATACTATTGTATGAAATAAGAGAAAGTAGTGTATACAACTAAACTACTAATTAAAGTTTTGTACCCTAGTACTTAATGACTAACTGCAATACTGCAGATGTAAGCTAAGTTGTTGATTCTATTTTTATTATTATTAATTATTACAAGATACGGAGCACGGCGTAACGGTAATAGCTTCTTACCTTGTAAAAAAATATGTAGTAATTTAAAACAGTGATTCCCAGTTCTTTTGTCCGGCAATCAAGGGCATATAAGAACTCGTAAAAATTTAGAATATTTTTTTATGTTAACATATTATGTACATATATATGAAAATAAAACCTTTATACATATATGAGTAGATAAAGGTAATACAACTTATTAAATCGTAACCGGTCAAAGTGAATATATATAGCAATCAAGGTTTATAATAATTTATCAAAAACATTCAAAAAAATGTTATTCTATTAATGATTATTTGCGTGAAACATAATTAATATTAATTTGATAACGTCATAATATATTTTAATAATGTGATGATGTAGTGATAAAATAATATAAGAATTGACTATAATATAATTTCTATTCTCCTTTCTCTTCCTTTCTCTTTCTATCCCTTTAAGACATATTTTCACGCCATTGTGTGTGGCAGAATACGGGAACTTTAGATTGTACCACCATAACATTTTTGTACCATATTCTTGCAAATTATTATTATTACTATAAAAATTTATGTGTTTATTATCAGGAGATAAGCAATGTGTGGGAGTTGGGAACCCTTTTAAGTAAAAATGCCTATATTCCAGCTCTTCTATAATAACTTCATACGTAATTCCATAACGTTATTGATGTGAAACATCTATAGCCGAACTTAAAACCGATTTCTGGCGTGGCGACGCATGCCGTGGCGACGCGCCGCCACGCTATATGATGGTATATATAAAGTCTATATGCAGTAGTGTGTACTGTGTGTGTATTTCGAAGTCACTGATTAAACGAATTAAGTAGTCACGATTTGAAATAAATTCGTAAATTTTTGTATTTAATAAAAATAAATTATTATTCAATAAATAGTCATCGTTATCTGGAAAAAAAAACGTAATATTTTATTTTATCATTATGACATATTTAGTTCCTATCACAATCTGTTCTTTTCTGCATATTACATTTACAAAATAATGTCGATGTTTCACATCAGCCAGGCGTCCCGGGACACCTCAAATTTTTTATTTATTCCAAAGTGAATATTTATTTTAATTACAATTTTGGAATTTTATAAACTGTTTACAACAATTTCAAATAAACCATTTACAAATACTGTAATTGAACAATTATCAATACGACGACTTCGATACCCTTCCTTATATAGTAATATTTACTATTAAAATACTCAGCACAGGACAAAGACCTTCGCATTTGTAAAAATGTCAGGGAAAATTAAGTAATAAAGGAAAAATCGTCAAGGAAAGTGAAAAACTACGCGGTTGTTTGGATTGCAGGTCGCTAAGTGATCACATATTTTATCCACGACATTGTTTTCTATATTCTGCTTGTTTTTGTTAGATAAGTTCCATTTCTCAAAGGTTTAATTTTGTTCAGTGCCGAGAGATTCACACAGCCAGAAGACTATTGCGTTCTCTTCTTTGAAAGTTCTTCGATGGGCAGATGATGCCTCAAAATTGCTGTTGACAATCTAGATAATAAGATATTGAATAAATTTAATAAAATATTGGTGACAAGATTGTTATTGAAGCAGTTAAAGCAGAGACACATAATCTATAATTAGATTTTTGAAATTGTTTTATTTTTTAATTTTTGACAATTGACTAGACAATTCCAGTTTTCATACTATATCTATTTCAATAAAACTTCTTTAATACAAACATTATTTAGTTGTTTTCAGCGAATAGTATGTAGTTATAAATGGGCGTTAATTGTATTCGCGTAACCCAAAGATATTGTGTTTTTCGTCTTAAATTTAACAGGTAATAAATTTTAAGACACTGTATTGTATTAAAAACGCTTCACTATATATGGGGTCTTAATCATATACCTGGAGCAGTGTTGGCCTAGTGGCTTCAGCGTGCGACTCCCATATCTGAGGTCATAGGTTCGATCGACATTCGCTCGAACGGTGAAGGAAAACAAAGCTTGCCTTAAACCCAAAGACATGAGGCTGACCACCTACTTGCCTATTAGATTGACAAATGATCAAGAATCAATTATAGAAATCTGAGGCAGACCTAAAAAGGTGGTAACAAGGTTATAATAAAGCAAAGGTCCTAAATTTAAAAAGTGAATTTATACCGAATCTGTTCTTATGGATATGTAATTTCCATAGAAGCAACGGTAACCATGGTAACAGATACCGAGTAATCGTATAATAAAGATAACGATATAAAAATTATTTACGAACAAGACAAATGCTAATTTTAATTTAATAGTTTAATAGAACAAGGTGCTTGTTTAATCTAACATAGTATTCTGTGTCTGTTTTGCAGATATTTTTAAAAAGATGTTAAGCCATCCAAACTGCAGGACCAAGTTCGATCCCAGTGACAATTTTTTTTCGTTGATTACATACTATTAAGTATTCACAGTGTTCAGCGAAGACGCAGAAATCTCCTCTGCAACAATACAACAAAAATAATGTTTAATTTCTCGCTAAAATTATCCACATTTCGTGAAAGAAATCAGATTAGCATCAAGAATGTCACTGTTTAGCATCGTTGGATATTCAAAAATTAAAAAAGAGAAATAAAACAAGGGAAGCGGGCGTAGTAAAATTAATATAAATAATAAATAAGGTCGCGAGTCGCGGAGCGTGTGGCGAGCTCCCGAGGGACGTCGTCAGGACTCGGTAATTTTGCGAATATTACGCGCGTCACTTTCTCATGAACCCTTTATTTTAAATATATTTAATAATTGTTTAGTAAACTTTTACGGAGCAGTGTTGGCCTAGTGGATTCAGCATGCGACTCTCATCCCTGAGGTCGTAGGTTCGATCCCCGGCTGTACACCAATGGACTTTCTTTCTATATGCGCTGTTAACATTCGCTCGAACGGTGAAGGAAAACATCGTGAGGAAACCGGCTTGCCTTAGACCCAAAAAGTCGACGGCGTGCGTCAGACACAGGAGGCTGATCGCCTACTTGCCTATTAGATTAACAAAGGATCATGAAACAGATACTGAGGCCCAAACCTAAAAAAAAGGTTGTAGCGCAACTGATTTATTTAATTTTTTTAGTAAACTTTTAACATGTTTAAATCGTTACGATAATTAAGGACAGTAATACTGTGCTGGATCTAAAAGTAAAGGCTATTAATGATTTAAAAATTCATCATAACCAATTCCATTTAACCTAAGTTTTGTATGTTATTATTATTATTATTATTAAGTTGGTTAAGAATATTGTAAATACTGTATATTTGTGTGTTGGAAATAAATTAACTTAAAAGTAGAATGATAGAAGAAAAAATGTTTTTAAAACTAAATTCAAATCGAAATATTAAAAAAAAAAATTGCACTATGATAATTTTAATTTGAATTAAAAATCTGCCAAGTAAAGAACCGATTGTACGAATCGACTGCCAGAAATATATTAAAGATCAACAGTCATTAATTAGCAACGTACCTGGATCGTTAATTACAACTTTTTTATTTTCCTCAATGACAAAGGAACTGTCGGCGAAAAGAAAAGTAGAGAAGTGTCGTGACAGGCGCCCCCTAGCGGCGGCGGGGAGGGGCGGCCAATGCGGGGCGGTAGCGATCGCCGGCCCCGGCCATTGGCCTGGCAAGGGGTGCGCGCCCCGCCCTCCTGAACCTCGCCCTTATTGAATTAGGCTTATCATTCGATTTCGAGTGGGGCGAGCGCGCGGTCCTCCACGGCAAAAACTAACTCGAGAAACGATAGCATCTGTAATCGGCATAATTCAATTCGCACTAATTATGCGGTTGTGAGCTCTCGCGGGTCCCAATAATAATCGCACGCGCGTGTCGCGATTTTGACATTTTTTTACGTTAGATAGTGAAATTTAATAATGGAGTACGGGTATCTTAGCGGTGCTGGTGGTGGGTTCGACGGTGGCTGTCTGGGCTCCAGCGGTGGAGAGCTGTCCTGGGGCGAGCTGGCCTCCTGCGGGCAGATGTCGCAGGCGGCTTACAGATATCAGGGTATGCGTTATCAGCCGCCGCCGCCACAATGCGCCCGGCCGCAAGATGCAGCTATGAGAAATCATCATATATTTCCACCTACGATGAATTTACAACGTAAGTAACCTTATTCATAATGTAAAAAAAAAAAAAATGTTTTAGTTCTTTACGTATAAGTTCTTAAAACTAAAAATATGCTTGCTACAATTCAAGCGCTACAGCCTACAGCTACGAAATTTCTCGTAGCAGTGCTCAATTAAGGTTTGAAGTATGTTAAAGTACGAAATTTTTTTTTCGGTATAAAATGCATACTTAAGAAAAACCTTGAACTGGGTAGTTTAACTGTGTATATACTGTGATATGTTTGGGTTACATAACATTATCTGTATTGAAAACTATACTTTAGAGCATTATGTACGGGCTGATAAAATCAAACTTACGAAAATCGCCTTTCAAGCTGATATCTGAATTTAAATGTAGGGCAATTTAAACTAATAAATTTAAAAAAAACGCCTTTTTCTGTGAGAAAAATTTGTTTTTGAAACGCTCTCTTATGTGTATTAGAGATACTATGCCACAGTTATAAACGTACAGTATTTTCGTTAACGGAATAAAAACCTTTAAAAATCAGTATAGCTGCTAACGATATAGATATGTTTTTCATTTTAATGTATTCTGTTTGTACTTAATTATAATTTTTAGGTAATGTTTCCTATTCAGAGAAAAAATGTGAATTCCAGAGTTAATTATATTATTTGAATACGTTTTAAAAACAAAATTGTACCTAAAAACTGTTGCTTACCTGTAAGTATGTATTTTTAGTTTAGTTAAGTTTTAAGTTCTGTATTGTATTTTTTTTTATGTTTATATTATTTGCATTCGGTTGCTTTAAAGAAACTGATTTCCGCAATAAGACAGCCCATTTATATTCTTTATCTTCATTAATTTTTTTCTCCTGTTTTTTGTTATTGTGATATGAATAAACTGTTATTATTATTATTATATGATATGATTTTTATTAGACTTTGTATATTATTTTTTTGCATGACATGACAAATTCAGACTTCTTACTGATAATTTTTCCGTACTTCTATTCGAACGACTACTTCAAGAGAACTGTATTACACTACTATTTGCTATTTGATAACGAGACGCAAATTTTATCAAAATGTAGGATTTAATATCACGTTAATAATTAAACCCGGCTTAGTATTTTGGCTATTGTTATTAGGCCAGGCGTTTAATCAGGCTTATAATGTGTGTGTCGTGGCTAGTGGTTATGGTGGATTGTATTCTAGTTGAAGTAACAATCGATATTAATTGTATTATATCAGGCACACATGGCCTTTTTGGGTTTTAAAAAAATGAACCGGAAAATCAAAAACGTATTTAATTGTAGTTATAATTTAAAAAGGTAAGGTCCAGTTGTATTTTTTGCCGTTTTCCATAGATTTGTTATTATGAAATTAGTTTTACATACATTAACCAGAAAAAGCGTGCCAAAATTATTCTTTATATTATCTTTTGAAATTGGTGTCAGTATTCTATTTATTTATTTTTAATTATTACATACGTAGCTTTATGATTATATAGATTTTATTTTTATGGAATATATTAATTTATATAAAAATAAAATTTATAAAATATTTGCTGTAGTGGTATGAAAGATTCGTATCTCGACAACTCTATTACCATAATAGTGTTGCCAGGATTTTTTTAATGGATTCAGTTATACAAAAATTTAACAAATGAATGACGCTCGCCATGTCTCATTTCGGTTTTTATGCTCGAGTTTTCTACTTTTTTCCTCTCATTGTGAGATGATATAAGCGTCCTTTTTACGAACGTGTATTAAATATTTAATTAATATGATTATATAATATAATTTAATTATAGTCGATCGAAATTTTTTCACACATTTATATGTTTTATATTAAATTGATGATATTTATGTTTACTTAAACTTATTGTAGGGTAAATTCCTTAATCACAAATTCAAAATCAATATTCATATAGGTAACACGTTGAACAAGAAGAAAAATGCTTAAGTTTTACTACCAGTTCAAGAAGACAATAGACAAGAGGAACTGACAAAACCTCACCGTCTCTTGTAAGCTGCAATTATAGTAAAAAAATACGGGTTGCACTCCCGGAGTGCCGGCAGAAGTGAAAACTTGAATATTAACGTTGTGCATTTTTGATATTTTGTAGGTTAGGGAATAATTTTGCACGAATTGCTTTAATTATCAGTATAAAAGTACTATCATTTTTGTGGTAGAATACAATATTTATTTATTGCGCTATCGTACATAAACATGACAATTTATATTACATTAAACTCGCCGCGCCAGCTGTCTACTCTCCATCCGTCTTACGAATTTTCGATCAGGTCACGTGTCCTAACGCGAGTTTAAAATTTTTTACCTATTCCAAAAAAGTGAAGAGTCCACTAAAGAAGTTTTCACTTCAAAAAAATAAAAATTTCTTTATTCAATAACAAGTTACATTGTTTAAGCAGATATTGGAGCCCCTGAACTAAGTCTAGGAAGACCTGAGCATAAGGGTACTCTTCCAAAGATTTAATGAAATTGTAACTTAACAACTGTTACCAAAATACTATATAAAGAAGAATAGAAAGCTAAGACTTATTACAAAAAAAGACAGGTTTACATGGTTGAGATTAATACATCAATATTAAAATAGCAAAAGCAATAATAATAAAAACAAAAAACAGTGGCACTACAACCTACTGGGTTTGGGCCTCAGGTTTCTGTATCTGTTTTGGGATTGTTTTTCTAATAGGCAAGTAGATGATTAGCGTCGATTTTTGGGTCTAAGACATGACAGTTTCCTTCACCGTACGAGTAAGTTTTAAATGCGCATAGACAAAGTCCATTGGTGCACAACCGGGGATCGAAACTACGAGCCACTAGGCGATTAAAATAAACTAAGTATTCTTTTTAGATAAGCCATTATATAATACCGACATTTAAAGTGAAATTTTCTTCAAGCATATTGCGACGTTTGTTTCATAGTTGCTTTGGGCGGGGCAGTGGGGAGCCGTGTCTTGCCGCGTGAGCGATTGCGACCGTAATTGGGAGAGGCGTCCGCGAGATTCTTAAGGGGAGGACAAAGTAGAGAGCCAAGCTGTATTAGTTAATAGATTTTTGTTTAGTACTCTTATTTAGCTAAAGTTTGTTTCGTGTGACAAAACCTTCGTAGGTTGCTTAAATCAAATCAAAATCATTTATTCATTCGGGCAAAACAATGTACACTTATGAACGTCAAAAAGAAATATATATTAATGCTAATTTTACATTTACTGCCAGTCCCCAAATCAAGGGCGTAGAACGGAAGAGAAGAACTGGCTATAAACCCTCCGCCACTCTTTTTAATCGCCAAGTTTTTTGTTTTACACAATGTTTGTAAGAAGCTGCAACCATTACACCATCTTCCACATGACGTCTTAAGTAATTAATAGTTACTTAATAATAAAATAAATTAAAACAAAGATTGTCCTCCATCAGCAGGAGGCATGGTGAAATAGGAGCAGGCACTTACATTCTCGTGGGAACAACACGCAAGTACATAGTCGAAATAACTAACACAAGAAAACACTTGCAACGAACAAGAGAATGTAACATAGTAGGCCGCTATGTCTTAGAATTTACGTTTGTCTATGTTTGTCATTTGCCAACCGACACTTGGATGGATTTTGGTTTTACGTTTTAAATTGGTTAACGAAGTGACGCAAAAATTGTATCCTGTCGGGAATTGACACGCTTCTTTATAGATTTTTAACAGCGATGAAACGAACAATACAGTACATCTTATTAAACTTACACCCGCATTATTTTTTCAATAAGTTCCACTAGAAACCAGAATGTAATACAGAAACAAATGTTTGACCTTTTTGAATACAGATTCTAGAATTATACACACGCATTCTTTTTTCAAAAAGTTCCACTAGAAACCAGAATGTAATATAGAAAAAAAATGTTCTGACCTTTTTGAATACAGATTCTAGAATTATACACACGCATTCTTTTTTCAAAAAGTTCCACTAGAAACCAGAATGTAATACAGAAAAAAATGTTATGACCTTTTTGAATACAGACCCTAGTATCATAAAACTTTGCATTTACACTGTGAGTATTCCCCTTAAGACTAAGGGTTCGTCTTGCACCCACGAAACATAATAACTTACCTCGGGCGTCCATGTAATCTTCAGAAAACCCGGATTATTCCCGTTAATCATACAGAAATTAATTACAACTTGCTGTATTAATTGTTGTACAGTAATAAGATTACACAAGGTTTTGGTGTTAACAAATTATATATTTACATGGCTTTGTAATAAAATAAATCGAACTTCGTTTAAAAGTAGTACATCTAATTAACTAATAAGAATTAAAATATCATGAAGATATTTATGATAGAGATGTGGGATCTCTCTGCATCTTCTACCGTATTTACCATGGAGAGTGTTCAGAGGAGTTGTTCAGACTAATAGCTAGCAAATGCAGCTGAGTTTCATAATCGAACGTCGAGGCAGAATTTCGTTCCACCCATATCACCTCGACATCCGTCGTTCAACAACTGAGCGTGTTTTAAGTCAGTTTTTGCCGCGCACCACAACTATGTGGAACCAGCTGTCCACTGAATTTCCGAACCAATCGACTTAGGCTTCCTCAAGAAAAGAGTACGAATTCTTAAAAGGCCGGCAACGCACTCGCGGGCCCTCTGGCATTGAGAGTGTCCATGGCAGTATCACTTAAATTCAGACTCCTGCCCGTTTGCTGCCTGTAATATATAAAAGAAAGTGTTGGCGTGTGATTCTCCATCCAGAAGTTGTGGGTTCAAACGCCACCTGTTCGAATTCAGAAGGCCTTCAAATATTGATTAATGTGATAGTAATGTGTCCCCTTAATTACTGGTTTTCATAACCATATAACCGAATAAAATAGCTGTTTTTTTACATAAACTTTACATTTGATACAGATTCAAGCCATTATATATTAATCAGGAATACAGATTTAAATTATAACAAATTATGCAATAATAAATTTAATGTAGCGAGACAGGTCTTTGGAAATACATGAATCAAATCGATCGAT